AATAACCAAAATGCCCAGGGTAATGATATTTGGCAAGAAGCATGCTGAGATAAAGGGCTACAAAGTTAGTTCAAATAAATGATCTTCACCCATATTCAAGGTCACAAGCGTAAAGTAGGTTAAAAACTTTAATCAACTTCTTCTGAATAACCAAAATGCCCAGGGTGATGATATTTGGCCAGTAGCATGCTGGGGTAAAGGGCTTTCAAGTTTGTTCAAATGAATGACCTTCACTTATATTCAAGGTCACAGGGGTCAAATATGTGAAAAACATTAAACAACTTCTTCTGAATAACCAAAATGCACAGGGTGATGATATTTGGCCTGTAGCATACTGAGATCAAGGGCTACCAAGTTTGTTCAAATAAATGACCTTCACCCATATTCAAGGTCACAGGGGTCAAATATGTTAAAAACTTTAAACAACTTCTTCTGAATAACCAAAATGCCCAGGGTGATGATATTTAGTCAGTAGCATACTAGGATCAAGGGCTACCAAGTTTGTTTAAATGTATGACCTTGAATCATATTCAAGGTCACAAGGAGCAAATATGTTCAAAATATTTAAACAACTTGTTCTGAATAACCAAAAGGCTCAGGATGTTGATATTTTGTCAGTAGCATGCTGGGATCAAGGACTACTATGTTTGTTAAAGTGAATGACTTTGACTTATATTCAAGGTCACAGGGGTCAAATTTGTTTAAAATCTTTAAACGACCTCTTCTGAATAACCATGGGTCCCAGGATGTTGATACTTTGCAAGTTGCATCCTGAGATGAAAGGCTATAAAAATTGTTCAACATAATGACTTTGTTCGACTTTCAATCACAGGGGTGAAATGTTTAAAAAAAAAATTACAGGGTCTTTTGAATGAATTTTAATCGGAAATACTGATATTTTGCCTGTAGCTTTATTTTAGATCACTTTTAAGGCTACAAGTGTGAGATTTATACCAGGTGAGCGATGCACGCCCATTGGGTCTCTTGTTATAAATCATTACAGTGTAATAGCTAGCGGGGCCGGTAGGGGAAATGTATTGCTTTAGCAATACTCAGTATGCTTGTTACTATCAATTTCTGACATGTATATCTATTCTCTAGCGTACTATTAATTTCAGAGCGTTTGTACCCCAGCACTCGGCTCAGATGCATCTCCCAGCTAAAATAGGTAATGTATTCATGAAAACCAGGGATCTTTTCTGCACTTGATTTTTTTTTTAAACAAACTGACATCATATTTGAGACCTGAAGTGGTTAAATCAAAGAAACATTGTGAATTATTCTATTAATTTAAATTTTTAGATAATTAGGGCTGTCACAGGTACAAATTTCCATTCCGGGTACCCAAAAGAAACCAGACCTGTACCCGGGTACTCAAAATATCTTATCCATGCACAACACTGTGCTGTTCCGAGGGGTCTGTAACTCTCTATATATGTCGCCACGAAATGCTATCATGAAATCAAACACTAAACATTACAATGTTTTATAAAGTAGTCTAATTTATTCACACAAACAACTCTGGTCTTGCTGTAGTCATTTCTTCACCTGTCCAACATGAACGAGAGTTCCCTGTCAGTTAAAACGAAATAAATGTCTGCTGGGACCTTTAAAATTTACATTATTTTCCTTCGCTGACACTCTCGCTGACAGAGAGTTACCTATTTGGATGGGTGACCGCGGGGTACACATTGTCAGGCAGGGTTCCACCATAACCAAAACAGCTGGCAGGTACTCGGTTAATTGTGACAGCCCTATAGATAATTGAAAACCATGACTTTTACATCAGGTTTCCAGTCAGTAGGTTTATCTGGTATCAAATGCTTTCTGTATAGTAAAAAGTTGAGTTTCTTTTTATTGATTATTAATAACGACTTAATAAATTTATGACACATTTGACAGGTTAAGAAAGCATTTCAATGTGTAACTATCAAATAATTCTCTGAATCATTTATAAATAATTTGTAAGGGAGATATAACTATTATAAATAACTGGTGTAGTGTATAGGGTCATTAGGTAATTATTAGGGAATAGATTGAACTGCGAACAATTGCTAGGAGTACAATGTGTAATTAGTATTTATTGTAATTGTATTTGTTTGAACTATGATTTCATTGCAACTATGCTTGTACTGTGACTTTATCTGTAATATGACTTTATCTGCACTGTGACTTTATCTGTACCGTGACTATGTCTGTACTGTGACTTTATCTCTACTGTGACTATATCTGTACTGTGACTATGTCTGTACTGTGACTTTATCTGTACTGTGACTATATCTGTACTGTGACAATATCTGTACTGTGACTATATCTGTACTGTGACAATGTCTGTACTGTGACTATGTCTGTACTGTGACTATATCTGTACTGTGACAATATCTGTACTGTGATAATATCAGAACTGTGATTATATCTGTACTGTGACTATGTCTGTACTGTGACTATGTCTGTACTGTGACTTTATCTGTACTGTGACTTTATCTGTACTGTGACAATACCTGTACTGTGACTATATCTGTACTGTGACAATACCTGTACTGTGACTATATCTGTACTGTGACAATATCTGTACTGTGACTATATCTGTACTGTGACTATGTCTGTACTGTGACTATATCTGTACTGTGACTATATCTGTACTGTGACTATATCTGTACTGTGACTATATCTGTACTGTGACTATATCTGTACTGTGACTATATCTGTACTGTGACTATATCTGTACTGTGACTATATCTGTACTGTGACTATATCTGTACTGTGACTATATCTGTACTGTGACTATATCTGTACTGTGACTATATCTGTACTGTGACTATATCTGTACTGTGACTATATCTGTACTGTGACTATATCTGTACTGTGACTATGTCTGTACTGTGACTATATCTGTACTGTGACTATATCTGTACTGTGACTATATCTGTACTGTGACTATATCTGTACTGTGACTATATCTGTACTGTGACTATATCTGTACTGTGACTATATCTGTACTGTGACTATATCTGTACTGTGACTATATCTGTACTGTGACTATATCTGTACTGTGACTATATCTGTACTGTGACTATATCTGTACTGTGACTATATCTGTACTGTGACTATATCTGTACTGTGACTATATCTGTACTGTGACTATGTCTGTACTGTGACTATGTCTGTACTGTGACAATATCTGTACTGTGACTATATCTGTATTGTGACTACATCTGTACTGTGACAATGTCTGTACTGTGACAATACCTGTACTGTGACTACATCTGTACTGTGACTATATCTATAATGTGACTATATATGTACTGTGACTATATCTGTACTGTGACTATATCTGTACTGTGACTATATCTGTACTGTGACTATATCTGTACTGTGACTATATCTGTACTGTGACTATATCTGTACTGTGACTATATCTGTACTGTGACTATATCTGTACTGTGACTATATCTGTACTGTGACTATATCTGTACTGTGACTATATCTGTACTGTGACTATATCTGTACTGTGACTATATCTGTACTGTGACTATATCTGTACTGTGACTATATCTGTACTGTGACTATATCTGTACTGTGACTATATCTGTACTGTGACTATATCTGTACTGTGACTATATCTGTACTGTGACTATATCTGTACTGTGACTATATCTGTACTGTGACTATATCTGTACTGTGACTATGTCTGTACTGTGACTATATCTGTACTGTGACTATATCTGTACTGTGACTATATCTGTACTGTGACTATATCTGTACTGTGACTATATCTGTACTGTGACTATATCTGTACTGTGACTATATCTGTACTGTGACTATATCTGTACTGTGACTATATCTGTACTGTGACTATGTCTGTACTGTGACTATATCTGTACTGTGACTATATCTGTACTGTGACTATATCTGTACTGTGACTATATCTGTACTGTGACTATATCTGTACTGTGACTATGTCTGTACTGTGACTATATCTGTACTGTGACTATATCTGTACTGTGACTATATCTGTACTGTGACTATATCTGTACTGTGACTATGTCTGTACTGTGACTATATCTGTACTGTGACTATATCTGTACTGTGACTATATCTGTACTGTGACTATATCTGTACTGTGACTATGTCTGTACTGTGACTATATCTGTACTGTGACTATATCTGTACTGTGACTATATCTGTACTGTGACTATATCTGTACTGTGACTATGTCTGTACTGTGACTATATCTGTACTGTGACTATATCTGTACTGTGACTATATCTGTACTGTGACTATATCTGTACTGTGACTATATCTGTACTGTGACTATATCTGTACTGTGACTATATCTGTACTGTGACTATATCTGTACTGTGACTATATCTGTACTGTGACTATATCTGTACTGTGACTATATCTGTACTGTGACTATATCTGTACTGTGACTATATCTGTACTGTGACTATATCTGTACTGTGACTATATCTGTACTGTGACTATGTCTGTACTGTGACTATGTCTGTACTGTGACAATATCTGTACTGTGACTATATCTGTATTGTAACTACATCTGTACTGTGACAATGTCTGTACTGTGACAATACCTGTACTGTGACTACATCTGTACTGTGACTATATCTATAATGTGACTATATATGTACTGTGACTATATCTGTACTGTGACTATATCTGTACTGTGACTATATCTGTACTGTGACTATATCTGTACTGTGACTATATCTGTACTGTGACTATATCTGTACTATGACTATATCTGTACTGTGACTATATCTGTACTGTGACAATGTCTGTACTATGACTATATCAGTACTGTGAATATATCTGAACTGTGACTATATCTGTACTGTGACAATGTCTGTACAGATATAGTCACAGTACAGATATAGTCATAGTACTGTGACTATGTCTGTACTATGACTATATCTGTACTGTGCCTATATCTGTACTGTGACAATGTCTGTACTGTGACAATATCTGTACTGTGACTATATCTGTAATGTGACTATATCTGTACTGTGACTACATCTGTACTGTGACTATATCTGTACTGTGACTATATCTGTACTGTGACAATTTTGAATTGGAAGAGTTATCTGTACTGTAACAATACCTGTACTGTGACTATATGTATACAATGTTCCTATCCCTACAGGTGATTACACTGACTTTTACTCCTCTAAAAACCATGCACACAACGTTGGCTGTATGTTCCGTGGGCCTGAAAATGCACTCATGCCAAACTGGTAGGTCTTAATTGATAATGTGAACATCAGATTAACTCATTCACCCCTGATATTTCATAATGAACTATTCCAACCTTTGAATTGGAAGAGTTCAAATGTGTCTTCATGGGTGAAGAGATTGTCATTATATCTTGCTCTATCAGTACTTTAGCCTGTACAGTATGATGTTCGTAAGTTGTCAACAACATTATATTTGAGAATTAACAGACTGATTATGTTTGTGAGGTTCCGCTAGCATTACCTAGCCTTATGATTTACTGCTATTCTGATTAACATGAAAGCATGCAATGAACTCTACTGTTGTTTTACTCAGGACACATCTACCAGTTGGTTATCATGGCCGAGCCTCCTCCGTGGTGGTATCAGGTACACCAATCAGACGGCCAAATGGACAGACACGCCCAGACGACAGTAAGTCAGATGGCAAGACCTTACAGGATTTTTAGCGCACCTGGTCCGAATGACCATGGTGATCTTATGCCATACCGCAGCGTCCGTCGTCCATCAACTTTTCCTTTAAAACGCTAGTAGTCCTGAACGGCCAAGTAGATTTTGACTAAATATGGTTTGGAGCATCCTTAGGCCAAGGGGACTCAATTTTGTATAAACTGTGGGTTTTAACCCCCTGGAGCAAAGGGGCGGGGCCAAATAGAAAAATAGCTTTAAAATCCTTCTCCTTCTGTAGGAATGACAGGATTTTGTCCATATTTGGTCTAAAGCATCTTTGGGTGAAGGGGAACTAATTTTGTATCAACCGTGGGTCTGACCCCTCCTGGGGGCAGATGAGCCGGGCCCAATAGTGGAAACATAGCAAACTCTTCAAATTCCTCCTTTTCCTGTAGGAATGACAGTATTTTGTCCAATTGCATATAAATATAACCCCTGACTAACCATGTTATACATGTATAGCAATTTTCAACTATTTCAACTTCAATTTTGCTAACATTTCCATGTAAACGATACAGGCCCTTTGGGCCTCTTGTTTATATTTCAAATTTGGGTTTAACTCACCTGGTCGCAAAGTTAAAGAGAAGTGCAGACATGTGCAGGTGAGCAGACTGTAATATTTAGTTAATGGCTGAAAAACAAACTTTCCCGAAAAAGATTGTCGCAATGTTAAGTTAGGAGTTATTAAGATGTGATCAACAGGTAATCTAATGTATGCAAAGAAGTGTTGTATCTCTCTGTTTGTTCCAGCCAAACCCATGTGTTCAGTAAATTATAGTGTTATGCTTGTTACAGCCAAACCCCTGTGTTCAGTAAATTATAGTGTTATGCTTGTTACAGCCAAACCCCTGTGTTCAGTAAATTATAGAGTTGTGCTTGTTACAGCCAAACCCCTGTGTTCAGTAAATTATAGAGTTGTGCTTGTTACAGCCAAACCCCCTGTGTTCAGTAAGTGTTGTGTTTGTTACAGCCAAACCCCCTGTGTTCAGTAAGTGTTGTGTTTGTTACAGCCGAACCCCCTGTGTTCAGTAAGTGTTGTGTTTGTTACAGTCAAACCCCTTGAGTTCAGTAAGTGTTGTTTGTTACAGTCAAACCCCCTGAGTTCAGTAAGTGTTGTGTTTGTTACAGTCAAACCCCCTGAGTTCAGTAAGTGTTGTGTTTGTNTGTTGTGTTTGTTACAGCCAAACCCCCTGTGTTCAGTAAGTGTTGTGTTTGTTACAGCCGAACCCCCTGTGTTCAGTAAGTGTTGTGTTTGTTACAGTCAAACCCCCTGAGTTCAGTAAGTGTTTTGTTTGTTACAGCCAAACCCCCTGTGTTCGGTCAGTGTAAGCTACTGGACTTTGAGCTGGAGATGGCTTTCCTCACTGGCCCAGCCAATGAGCTTGGTCAGCCCATCACTATGGACAAGGTAGATGACCACATCTTTGGCATGGTGCTGATGAACGACTGGAGTGGTACGTACAAGTCATTTTTATCTATGTCTGATTATACTGGAGTGGTACGTACAAGTCATTGTTATCTATGTCTGATTATACTGGAGTGGTTTGTACAAGTCATTGTTATCTATGTGGGATTATACTGGAGTGGTACGTACAAGTCATTGTTATCTATGTCTGATTATACTGGAGTGGTACGTACAAGTCATTGGTATCTATGTCTGATTATACTGGAGTGGTTTGTACAAGTCATTGTTATCTATGTCTGATTATACTGGAGTGGTACGTACAAGTCATTGTTATCTATGTCTGATTATACTGGAGTGGTACGTACAAGTCATTGTTATCTATGTCTGATTATACTGGAGTGGTACGTACAAGTCATTGTTATCTATGTCTGATTATACTGGAGTGGTACGTACAAGTCATTGTTATCTATGTCTGATTATACTGGAGTGGTACGTACAAGTCATTGTTATCTATGTCTGATTATACTGGAGTGGTACGTACAAGTCATTGTTATCTATGTCTGATTATACTGGAGTGGTACGTACAAGTCATTGTTATCTATGTCTGATTATACTGGAGTGGTACGTACAAGTCATTGTTATCTATGTCTGATTATACTGGAGTGGTACGTACAAGTCATTGTTATCTATGTCTGATTATACTGGAGTGGTACGTACAAGTCATTGTTATCTATGTCTGATTATACTGGAGTGGTACGTACAAGTCATTGTTATCTATGTCTGATTATACTGGAGTGGTACGTACAAGTCATTGTTATCTATGTCTGATTATACTGGAGTGGTACGTACAAGTCATTGTTATCTATGTCTGATTATACTGGAGTGGTACGTACAAGTCATTGTTATCTATGTCTGATTATACTGGAGTGGTACGTACAAGTCATTGTTATCTATGTCTGATTATACTGGAGTGGTACGTACAAGTCATTGTTATCTATGTCTGATTATACTGGAGTGGTACGTACAAGTCATTGTTATCTATGTCTGATTATACTGGAGTGGTACGTACAAGTCATTGTTATCTATGTCTGATTATACTGGAGTGGTACGTACAAGTCATTGTTATCTATGTCTGATTATACTGGAGTGGTACGTACAAGTCATTGTTATCTATGTCTGATTATACTGGAGTGGTACGTACAAGTCATTGTTATCTATGTCTGATTATACTGGAGTGGTACGTACAAGTCATTGTTATCTATGTCTGATTATACTGGAGTGGTACGTACAAGTCATTGTTATCTATGTCTGATTATACTGGAGTGGTACGTACAAGTCATTGTTATCTATGTCTGATTATACTGGAGTGGTACGTACAAGTCATTGTTATCTATGTCTGATTATACTGGAGTGGTACGTACAAGTCATTGTTATCTATGTCTGATTATACTGGAGTGGTACGTACAAGTCATTGTTATCTATGTCTGATTATACTGGAGTGGTACGTACAAGTCATTGTTATCTATGTCTGATTATACTGGAGTGGTACGTACAAGTCATTGTTATCTATGTCTGATTATACTGGAGTGGTACGTACAAGTCATTGTTATCTATGTCTGATTATACTGGAGTGGTACGTACAAGTCATTGTTATCTATGTCTGATTATACTGGAGTGGTACGTACAAGTCATTGTTATCTATGTCTGATTATACTGGAGTGGTACGTACAAGTCATTGTTATCTATGTCTGATTATACTGGAGTGGTACGTACAAGTCATTGTTATCTATGTCTGATTATACTGGAGTGGTACGTACAAGTCATTGTTATCTATGTCTGATTATACTGGAGTGGTACGTACAAGTCATTGTTATCTATGTCTGATTATACTGGAGTGGTACGTACAAGTCATTGTTATCTATGTCTGATTATACTGGAGTGGTACGTACAAGTCATTGTTATCTATGTCTGATTATACTGGAGTGGTACGTACAAGTCATTGTTATCTATGTCTGATTATACTGGAGTGGTACGTACAAGTCATTGTTATCTATGTCTGATTATACTGGAGTGGTACGTACAAGTCATTGTTATCTATGTCTGATTATACTGGAGTGGTACGTACAAGTCATTGTTATCTATGTCTGATTATACTGGAGTGGTACGTACAAGTCATTGTTATCTATGTCTGATTATACTGGAGTGGTACGTACAAGTCATTGTTATCTATGTCTGATTATACTGGAGTGGTACGTACAAGTCATTGTTATCTATGTCTGATTATACTGGAGTGGTACGTACAAGTCATTGTTATCTATGTCTGATTATACTGGAGTGGTACGTACAAGTCATTGTTATCTATGTCTGATTATACTGGAGTGGTACGTACAAGTCATTGTTATCTATGTCTGATTATACTGGAGTGGTACGTACAAGTCATTGTTATCTATGTCTGATTATACTGGAGTGGTACGTACAAGTCATTGTTATCTATGTCTGATTATACTGGAGTGGTACGTACAAGTCATTGTTATCTATGTCTGATTATACTGGAGTGGTACGTACAAGTCATTGTTATCTATGTCTGATTATACTGGAGTGGTACGTACAAGTCATTGTTATCTATGTCTGATTATACTGGAGTGGTACGTACAAGTCATTGTTATCTATGTCTGATTATACTGGAGTGGTACGTACAAGTCATTGTTATCTATGTCTGATTATACTGGAGTGGTACGTACAAGTCATTGTTATCTATGTCTGATTATACTGGAGTGGTACGTACAAGTCATTGTTATCTATGTCTGATTATACTGGAGTGGTACGTACAAGTCATTGTTATCTATGTCTGATTATACTGGAGTGGTACGTACAAGTCATTGTTATCTATGTCTGATTATACTGGAGTGGTACGTACAAGTCATTGTTATCTATGTCTGATTATACTGGAGTGGTACGTACAAGTCATTGTTATCTATGTCTGATTATACTGGAGTGGTACGTACAAGTCATTGTTATCTATGTCTGATTATACTGGAGTGGTACGTACAAGTCATTGTTATCTATGTCTGATTATACTGGAGTGGTACGTACAAGTCATTGTTATCTATGTCTGATTATACTGGAGTGGTACGTACAAGTCATTGTTATCTATGTCTGATTATACTGGAGTGGTACGTACAAGTCATTGTTATCTATGTCTGATTATACTGGAGTGGTACATACAAGTCATTGTTATCTATGTCTGATTATACTGGAGTGGTACGTACAAGTCATTGTTATCTATGTCTGGTTATACTGGAGTGGTATGTACATATAAATTATTGTTATCGTGATATGTCTGATTTATTGAGATGCTCAAGTGACCTGTTCTGATTTCTTTTAGTCTGTTGCCATGTGCTACTGACGTGCATAAACTTTTTACATTTTTGACTTCTTCTCAAGAACCAGTAGATGGAATTCTTTCAAACTTTGTTTGAATCATCTATGGTAGATGAGGCTACAAAATTGTAAAATTGGGATTCCTGTCCCAACCCCAAGGGCCAGGACGGGACCCCTAAATTAGCCAATATTTCAAAGATCTTCTTCTCCAGACCCAGAGGGGTATTACAGTTATTTCTCTGCAAAGATGGAAAGATCATCAGGGGCTTTATTTAAATTGTAAATTTCAGTACCCCCGGGCCATCCGTTCTCCCTTGGGTAGGGTGTAAAGTTTACTATAGTTTATATAGGGACATAACATTTTTGGGTATATTTTGTACATTTTCATGAGGAAATTATTCAAACTCGGTCAGAATCATCTTTGGTGGAAGCGGGTATTACATTGTGAAATTGGGATTCTTGCCCATCCCCAAGGGTAGGGTAGGGCTCCAAAGGGAAATTAACCAATATTTCAAAAGTCTTCTTCTTCAGACTCAGAGCTACTACAATCAAATTCTGTGCATGGATGAAAATTCCATCAGGAGCTCTATCTATTTTTCAATTTCATTACCCCTGGGACATCCATTATTGCTTGGGGAGGGGGTAAAGTTGACTTAAGTTTATATAGGGAAATAACTCTTTTTGGATATATTTTGTCCATTTTCAGCAGAAAATCATTCAAACTTGGTTGGAAAGATTATGATGCCAGATGGTAATTAGATGGTATGAGAAAATAAGATCCTGCCCCATTCCCAGGTGCTGGAGGGGTGGAAAATGGTTAATGGGGAAAATGGTAACAAGTTAAAAAAAATCTTCTTCATCAGACTCGGATGTTTTGCAAGAAATACTCTTCATGGATAGAAAGGTCCTTAGGTGCATTATCTAAATTGTAAATTTCATTATCTCCCAGGTCATCTGCTCTCCCCTGGGGGAAGGGTAAAGTTTACTATAGTTTATTTAGGGAAATAACATTTCTGACTATATCTTGTCCATTTTTAGCAAGAAATAATTCAAACTTAGTTGGAATAGTTTAAATGAAAATGAAATCAAATAGTTTTAGAAAGTAAGATCCTGACCTATCCCAGGGGTTGGCCAAAGAGGAAAAATTGGCTAAATAACAATAGATATTATATTTCTCAATAGCAAAATAATTTATTAGAATATTTTTTTTCAAGTTCTTTTTGTGTATGTTGTTGAGACGCTGGAGAAAGTGGTCTATTTTCTGTGTACAGCACGAGACATACAGAAGTGGGAGTATGTGCCCCTCGGTCCATTCCTGGGTAAGAACTTTGGGACAACCATTTCCCCTTGGGTGGTACCTATGGACGCCCTCAAGCCCTTCGTCGTCCCCAATGCCTCTCAGAATCCAGTTCCTCTACCGTACCTCCAACACGAGGACCCCTACACCTTCGACATCAACCTCCAAGTGGCTCTAAAGTGTGAGTATCAACAGGGTTAACACGGGCTTCAATGATTGATTGAGTGGGACAGGCATAGAAACAATCTTAAAGTTAGAGTGTGGCCTTGAATTTGCCATTCAGTAATCCATATATTATTGCCCAAAGTCATGTCTTTCTTACACGTTAAAATTCGAAACAAAATTGTTTTCGGAATATAAAACAAGTGTTGTGAAGTGTCATTGTGTTCGCCCTGTTTTTGTCATGTTAAGTAACAGTGGGGAAGCAACTCCTGCTGCTTCTATTATAGTATTTCATAAGAAAAACCTGAGAGTTTCGAGATCATCCGCATGAGATGCTAATTATTATAAAGTGCTATAATAGGGGTTGTCTGACAAGCTCCAAAGATGTGTGTCTCTTTTACAATAGACCAGCAACACAATATTTTAATAAAAGCATTTTAAGGTGACCAATAGCGAGGCCAACTGTACCATAGGTGTTGACAGAGAAATCATACCCTAGGGAGTGACAGAGAAATCATACCCTAGGGGGTGACAGCTGGGGAATCATACACTAGGGGGTGACAAAGAATCATTCACTAGGGGTGACAGAGAAATCATACACTAGGGAGTGACAGAGAAGTCATACAGTAGGAGGTGACAGCTGGGGAATCATACACTATGGGTTGACAGCTGGGGAATCATACACTAGGAGGTGACGGGGGAATCATACACTAGGGGTGACAGGGAAATCATACACGAGGGGGTGACAGAGAAATCATACACTAGGGAGTGACAGGGGAATCATACACTAGGGGGTGACAGCTGGGGAATCATACACTAGGGGGTGACAAAGAAATCATACACTGGGGGTGACAGAGAAATCATTCACTAGGGGGTGACAGAGAAATCATACACTAGGGAGTGACAGGGGAATCATACACTAGGGGGTGACAAAGAAATCATACACTGGGGGTGAGAGAGAAATCATTCACTAGGGGGTGACAGCTGGGGAATCATACACTATGGGGAGACAGGGAAATCATACACTAGGGGGTGACAGAAATCCTACACTAGGGGGGGACAGCTGGGGAATAATACACTAGGGGGTGACAGGGAAATCATATTATAGGGGTTGACAGAGAAATCATACACTAGGGGGGGACAGCTGGGGAATCATACACTAGGGGGTGACAGCTGGGGAATCATACACTATGGGGTGACAGAAATCCTACACTAGGGGTTACGGAGCAATCATACCCTAGGGAGTGACAGGGGAATCATACACTAGAGGGTGACAGCTGGGGAATCATACACTAGGGAGTGACAGTGGAATCATACACTGGGGGTGACAGAGAAATCATACATTAGGGGTGACAGAGAAATCATACACTAGGGGGTGACAGTGGAATCATACACTAGGGATGACAGAGAAATCATACACTAGGGGGGGACAGAGGAATCATACACTAGGGATGACAGAGAAATCATACACTAGGGGGGGACAGAGAAATCATACGCTAGGGGGTGACAGCTGGGGAATCATATACTAGGGAGTTACAGGGGAATCATACACTAGGGGGTTACAGAGAAATCATACACTAGGGAGTGACAGGGGAATCATACACTAGGGGGTGAGAGAGAAATCATACACAAGGGGTGACACCGTGGGAAGCATACACTAGGGGTGACAGAGAAATCATACACTAGGGGGTGACAGAGAAATCATACGCTAGGGGGTGACAGCTGGGGAATCATACACTAGGGAGTTACAGGGGAATCATACACTAGGGGGTTACAGAGAAATCATACACTAGGGAGTGACAGGGGAATCATACACTGGGGGGTGACAGCATGGGAATCATACACTAGGGGGTGACAGAGAAATCATACGCTAGGGGGTGACAGCTGGGGAATCATACACTAGGGAGTTACAGGGGAATCATACACTAGGGGGTTACAGAGAAATCATGCACTAGGGAGTGACAGGGGAATCATACACTAGGGGGTGAGAGAGAAATCATACACTAGGGGGTGACAGGGAAATCATACACTAGGGGGTGACAGCTGGGGAATCATACACTAGGGGGTGAGAGAGAAATCATACACTAGGGGGTGACAGAAATCATACACAAGGGGGTGACAGCTGGGGAATCATACACTAGGGGGTGACAGAGAAATCATACACTAGGGGGTGACACCGTGGGAAGCATACACTAGGGGGTGAAAGAGAAATCATACACTAGGGGGTGACAGCTGGGGAATCATACACTAGGGAGTTACAGGGGAATCATACACTAGGGGGTGACAGAGAAATCATACACTAAGGAGGGACAGGGGAATCATACACTAGGGAGTTACAGGGGAATCATACACTAGGGGGAGACAGAGAAATCATACACTAGGGGGGGACAGAGAAATCATACACTAGGGAGTGACAGGGGAATCATACACTAGGGGGTGACAAGGGAAACATACACTAGGGAGTGACAGCTGGGGAATCACACAATGGGGTGACAGGTAAATCATACACTAGGGGGTGACAGAGAAATCATACACTCGGGGATGACAGAGAAATCATACACTAGGGGCTGACAGAGAAATCATATCCTAGGGAGTGACAGAGAAACCTTACACTAGGGGTGACGGAGACACCATACACTGTGGGGGACAGAGAAATCATACACTGGGGGCGACAGAGAAATCATACACTGTGGGGGACAGAGAAACCATACACTAGGGGAGACAGAGAAATCATACACTGTGGGGGACAGAGAAACCATACACTAGGGGGTGACAGATAAATTGTACACTAGGGGGTGACAGAGAAATCGTACACAAGGGGGTGACTGAGAAATCATACACTAGGGGTGACAGAGAAACCATACACTAGGGGGTGACAGGGAAATCATACACTAGGGGTGACAGAGAAACCATACACTAGGGGATGACAGAAACCATATTCTAGGGGGGACAGAGAAATCATATCCTAGGGGGTGACAGAGAAATCATACACTGGGGGTGCCATAGAAATCATACACTAGGGGTGATGGAGAAACCATACACTGGGGGTGACAAAGAAACCATATCCTAGGGGGTAGCAGAGAAATCATACACTAGGGGGTGACAGGGAAATCATATTATAGGAGTTGACAGAGAAATCATACACTAGGGGGTGACAGGGAAATCATACACTAGGGGTGACAGAGAAACCATACACTAGGGGTGACAGAGAAACCATATTCTAGGGGGTGACAGAGAAATCATACACTGGGGGTGACATAGAAATCATACACTAGGGGTGATGGAGAAACCATACACTGGGGGTGACAAAGAAATCATATCCTAGGGGGTAGCAGAGAAATCATACACTAGGGGGTGACAGGGAAATCATATTATAGGGGTTGACAGAGAAATCATACACTAGGGGGTGACAGGGAAATCATACACTGGGGAGACAGAGAACCCATACACTAGGGGGTGACAGGGAAATCATATTATAGGGGTTGACAGATTAGGGGGTGACAAAGAAATCATACACTAGGGAGTGACAGGGAAATCATACACTGGGGTGACAGAAACTGTACACTAGGGGGTGACAGAGAAATCATACACTCGGGGATGACAGAGAAATCATACACTAGGGGGTGGCAGGGAAATCATACACTGTGGTGACAGAGCAACCATACACTAGGGGGTGACAGGGAAATCATACACTAGGGGGTGACAGCTGGGGAATCATACACTATGGGGTGACAGAAATCCTACACTAGGGGGTGACAGCTGGGGAATCATACACTAGGGGGTGACAAGGGAAACATACACTAGGGAGTGACAGCTGGGGAATCACACAATGGGGGTGACAGGTAAATCATACACTAGGGGGTGACAGAGAAATCATACACTAGGGATGACATAGAAACCATACCACTAGGGAGTGACAGGGGAATCATACACTAGGGGGCGACAAGGGAAACATACACTAGGGAGTGACAGCTGGGGAATCACACAATGGGGTGACAGGTAAATCATACACTAGGGGGTGACAGAGAAATCATACACTAGGGGGGGACAGGGAAATCATACACTGGGGAGACAGAGAACCCATACACTAGGGGGTGACAGGTTAATCATTTACACTAGGGGTGACGGAGACACCATACACTGTGGGGGACAGAGAAATCATACACTAGGGGGTGACAGGGAAATCATATTATAGGGGCTGACAGAGAAATCATACACTAGGGGGTGGCAGGGAAATCATACACTGTGGTGACAGAGCAACCATACACTAGGGGGTGACAGAAAAACCATACACTAGGGGTGACAGAGAAACCATACACTAGGGAGTGACAGGGAAACCATACACTAGGGGTGACAGAGAAACCATGTTCTAGGGGTGACAGAGAAATCCGTGGGAAGCATACACTAGGGGTGACAGAGAAATCATACACTAGGGGTGACAGAGAAACCATATTCTAGGGGGTGACAGAGAAATCATACACTAGGGGTGACAGAGAAACCATATTCTAGGGGTGACAGGGTGAAAGAGAAATCATACACTAGGGGGTGACAGAGAAATCATACACTAGGGATGACATAGAAACCATACACTAGGGATGACATAGAAACCATAATCTAGGGATGACATAGAAACCATACACTAGGGATAACATAGAAAACCTACACTAGGCATGACATAGAAACCATACACGAGGGATGACATAGAAACCATGCACTAGGGATGACATAGAAGCCATACACTAGGGATGACATTGAAACGATACACTAGGGATGACATTGAAACGATACACTAGGGATGACATCGAAACCCCATACACTAGGGGTGACAGAAAAACCATACACTAGGGAGTGACAGCTGGGGAATCACACAATGGGGGTGACAGGTAAATCATACACTAGGGGGTGACAGAGAAATCATACACTAGGGGTGACAGAGAAACCATACACTAGGGATAACATAGAAACCATACACTAGGGATAACATATAAAAAACCTACACTAGGGATGACATAGAAAACATGCACTAGGGATGACATAGAAACCATACACTAGGGATGACATAGAAACCATACACTGGGGTGACAGAGGAATCCTGTCCAGGGTAAGAGATACCTCTGTGATTGGAGGGAGACATTGGTGTCACGTTATAACAATATGTCATTCTCTGTTTTAGGTGACGGACAAGGCCAGTCTCACACACTGTGTAAAAGTAACTTCAAGGTAAATCTGTCTGTACATGTTCATAATTACTTATAACTATGTAGATATAGAGCAGCCTCTGACCGTAGACAATCAGAGGGATAAACAGTGTAGGTCTATGGGAATCATTTATATGTTGTCTGTTAAGTTATTTCCTATGAGGTGTATGATTCAATGATGAGTGGTTAGTGAAAAAATGTTCTGTTAGATTATTTTACCTCCTTCATTGTTAGAGATATTTAATTCGTGTTATCAACACGTAAAATTTTCTAAATTTTAAGACTCACTGTCTGATAAAGAGGAATGAGGGCCTTATATTGAGAGTATATCGACATTTGATAAGCTCACCTGGTGAGTGATTTGGATCTTATGTGCTTTGTATGTTGTCGTAGTAGTTTGTCATCCATAAACATTCATCCAAAACTACTGATTAGGTAGTTAAAAGGCTGACACTCCAAGGGGGCAACAGACAGGGTCAAAAGTGGTCAGATTGTCCGATATACTTCCAAAACTACTGATTAGGTAGTTAAAAGGCTGATCCTCAAAGGGGCCGACAGACAGGGTCAAAAGTGGTCAGATTGTCCGATATACTTCCAAAACTACTGATTAGGAAGTTAAAAGGCTGACCCTCTAAGGGGCTGAAGACAGGGTCAAAAGTGGTCAGATTTACTTTCAAAAAGGGATCACTTCCCAAAAATCTTGGGTCCTAACCCATGGGAATCAAATGTTACAAATGTTACGGCTGACCACTAGGTAACACTTCTGAACGCTCTCTGATACTGCTGGACAGCTTTCTACTTAAAAGGTTAACTTTGAAAATAGCCAGTTAAACAATTCAAGGTCCTTGAGCTTCTTATTTATCTTGTATTGGCCTTGTATTGATATGATAGTGGCCTTGTGTTGATTTGATATTGGCCTTGTGTTGATATGATAGTGGCCTTGTGTTGATATGCTAGTGGCCTTGTGTTGATATGATAGTGGCCTTGTGTTGATATGATATTGGCCTTGTGTTGATATGATAGTGGCCTTGTGTTGATATGATAGTGGCCTTGTGTTGATATGATATTGGCCTTGTGTTGATATGATATTGGCCTTGTGTTGATATGATAGTGGCCTTGTGTTGATATGATAGTGGCCTTGTGTTGATATGATATTGGCCTTGTGTTGATATGATATTGGCCTTGTGTTGATATGATAGTGGCCTTGTGTTGATATGATAGTGGCCTTGTGTTGATATGATAGTGGCCTTGTGTTGATATGATATTGGCCTTGTGTTGATATGATATTGGCCTTGTGTTGATATGATAGTGGCCTTGTGTTGATATGATAGTGGCCTTGTGTTGATATGATAGTGGCCTTGTGTTGATATGATATTGGCCTTGTGTTGATATGATATTGGCCTTGTGTTGATATGATAGTGGCCTTGTGTTGATATGATAGTGGCCTTGTGTTGATATGATATTGGCCTTGTGTTGATATGATATTGGCCTTGTGTTGATATGATAGTGGCCTTGTGTTGATATGATAGTGGCCTTGTGTTGATATGATAGTGGCCTTGTGTTGATATGATATTGGCCTTGTGTTGATATGATATTGGCCTTGTGTTGATATGATAGTGGCCTTGTGTTGATATGATAGTGGCCTTGTGTTGATATGATAGTGGCCTTGTGTTGATATGATATTGGCCTTGTGTTGATATGATATTGGCCTTGTGTTGATATGATAGTGGCCTTGTGTTGATATGATAGTGGCCTTGTGTTGATATGATATTGGCCTTGTGTTGATATGATATTGGCCTTGTGTTGATATGATAGTGGCCTTGTGTTGATATGATAGTGGCCTTGTGTTGATATGATAGTGGCCTTGTGTTGATATGATATTGGCCTTGTGTTGATATGATATTGGCCTTGTGTTGATATGATAGTGGCCTTGTGTTGATATGATAGTGGCCTTGTGTTGATATGATAGTGGCCTTGTGTTGATATGATATTGGCCTTGTGTTGATATGATAGTGGCCTTGTGTTGATATGATAGTGGCCTTGTGTTGATATGATATTGGCCTTGTGTTGATATGATAGTGGCCTTGTGTTGATATGATAGTGGCCTTGTGTTGATATGATAGTGGCCTTGTGTTGATATGATAGTGGCCTTGTGTTGATATGATATTGGCCTTGTGTTGATATGATAGTGGCCTTGTGTTGATATGATAGTGGCCTTGTGTTGATATGATAGTGGCCTTGTGTTGATATGATAGTGGCCTTGTGTTGATATGATATTGGCCTTGTGTTGATATGATATTGGCCTTGCGTTGATATGATAGTGGCCTTGCATTGATATGATATTGGCCTTGCATTGATATGATATTGGCCTTGTGCTGATATGATAGTGGCCTTGTGTTGATATGATATTGGCCTTGTGTTTATTTGATATTAGCTTTCTTAGCTCACCTGCCCAAAGAGCAAGTGAGCTTATGTCGTGTGCGTCGTCCGTCAGTCCGTCCGTCCTCGTCCGTAGTGGCCTTGTGTTGATATGATGTTGGCCTTGTGTTGATATGATAGTGGACTTGTGATGATATGATATTGGCCTTGTGTTGACATGATATTGGCCTTGTGTTGATATGATATTCGCCTTGTGTTGATATGATATTGGCCTTGTGTTGATATGATATTGGCCTTGTGTTGATTTGATATTGGCCTTGTTAGCTCACCTGCCCAAAGAGCAAGTGAGCTTATGTCGTGGTGCGTCGTCCGTCAGTCCGTCCGTCCTCGTCCGTCAACTTTTCCTTTAAACAACTTCTTCTGAAGAACGGATAGGCCTAGAGTCATGATATTTGGTTGAAAGCTTTGTTGGTAGGAGCCCTACAAAGTTTGAAAACGAAAACGACCTTGACCTTCTTTAAAGGTCACAGGGGTCAAATATGTCAAAAACTTCAAACGACTTCTTCTGAAGAACTAAAAGGTATAGAATCTTCATATTTGGCTGATGGCTTCCTGGGATGGAGCTTAACAAAGTTTGAGAATGAAAATGACTTTGACCTACTTTCAAGGTCACAGGGGTCAAATGTGTCAAACACTTCAAACAACTTCTTCTGAAGAACTGAAAGGTATAGAATCTTTATATTTGGCTGGTGGCTTCCTGGGATAGAGCCCAACAAAGTTTGCGAATGAAAATTAGTTTGACCTACTTTCAAGGTCACAGGGGTCAAATATGTCAAAAACTTCAAACGACTTCTTCTGAAGAACTAAAAGGTATTGAATCTTCATATTTGGCTGATTGGTTCCTGGGATGGAGCCCAACAAAGTTTGAGAATGAAAATTACCTTGACCTACTTTCAAGGTCACAGGAGTCAAATGTGTAAAAAGCTTCAAATGACTTCTTCTGAAGAACTGAAGGGTATAGAATCTTTATATTTGGCTGGTGGCTTCCTGGGATAGAGCCCAACAAAGTTTGAGGAAGAAAATTAGTTTGACCTACTTTCAAGGTCACAGGGGTCAAATATGTAAAAAAAAACTACAAACGCCTTCTTCTGAAGAACTAAAAGGTATAGAATTTCATATTTGGCTGATTGGTTCCTGGGATGGAGCCCAACAAAGTTTTAGAATGAAAATTACCTTGTTCTACTTTCAAGGTCACAGGGGTCAAATGTGTCAAAAGCTTCAAATTAATTCTTCTGAGAGGTATAGAATCTTTATATTTGATTGATGGCTTCCTTGGATAGAGCCCGACAAAGTTTGAGGAAGAAAATGACCTTGACCTTCTTTCAAGGTCACAGGGGTCAAATGTGTCAGACACTTCAAACGATTTCTTCTGAACAACTGAAAGGTATAGAATCTTTATATTTGGCTTGTAGCTTCCTAGGAAAGAGCCCAACAAAGTTTGAGAATGAAAATGACCTTTACCTACGTTTAAGGTCACATGAGACAGATATGTCAAACACTTCAAATGACTTCTTCTGAAGAACTGGAAGTTATAGAACCTTAATATTCGGCTGGTTATTTCCTGGGAAAGAGCCCAACAAAGTTTGCGAATGAAAGTGACCTTGACCTACTTTCAAGGTCACAGAGGTCAACAACATTTTAATGGATTTGTTCTTAAGAACTAAAAGGAATGGATTCATAAGATTTGGCTGGTAGCTTTTGGAATAGAGCTTACCAATTTGAGAAGGAAAATGACATTGACCTACTTACAAGGTCACAGGGAAAAATATGTCAAGCAACTTCTGAAGAATCAAAAAGCATAGAATCTTGTAATAATATTTTGCTGGTAGTTTCAACAGATGGAGCCAACAAAGTTTGTGAGGGAAATATTTTTAGTGCAATATAATATTTAATGAGAATATTTTGCTATGACTGCTTAAATATTCAGGTGAGCGATACAGGCCCTCTTGGGCCTCTTGTGTTGATTTGATAGTGGCCTTGTGTTGATTCGATATTGGCCTTGTGTTGACTCCGTATTGATAATAGCCCCCCACCCCTCCTACCCCACCTCAGATAAGGGGAGGTGCTAGTAATGGCTTTGTCTGTGCAATTGTACATGTGGTCACCCATCGGCAGTACAAAGCTTGCGTACTAAGTAACAGTATGGCAAAGCCAAGTTCTAACCTTAGGTTGTTATCATTCAAGGGTAAAGGGTAAAAAGGCACAGTTTACCACTATTGACTTCCTCATTGAGGGAGGTATATCATGAGCCCCTGCTTACTTTATTTTTGTTAATAACATATTGACCTTATTTAACCTTGTGTTCTTTTTTCAGTACATGTATTGGACAATGAAACAGCAGTTGGTCCACCACACAGTGACAGGCTGTAACACGAACCCTGGAGACCTCCTGGCTTCAGGAACCATTAGTGGAGAGGTGAGTGTATAACACACCTCCTGACTCAGTAGACAGATGAGTGAACCACTGGAGACATCGAAGAGAGGTGTGGATTTCTGAGATTGGTATTGTGATATTTCTTTACATCATTACTCGATGTCTCTTTTTCAGACACCAGACTCGTTTGGCAGTATGTTGGAGCTGTGTTGGAAGGGCACCAAGACAATAGACCTGGGTGCTGGACTCACTCGCAAATTTCTAAAGGATGGTGATGAGGTTATCATGTCAGGTAAAGGCCATCTTTTATAGCCATAAGATCTAAACAACAAGTCTCATGATTTGAGGGTGGTATCGTATTAAAAAGTAAACAAGTGTATAAAATTCTTTGCATATGACTTTGAAAAATAAAAATAAATCTCTCAGAGATTTGTTAGGGTTTATTGGCTGATAAACATGATTAATTGTTATTTTTTCTGTTTGATCTAAAATTCAACAAAACTTTCACAGAGGCCAAATCAATTAAAAGTGAATTCTACTTCGGTTTTACTAGCTCACCTGGGGCCAAGTGAGCTTATGGCATGGTGCGGCGTCTGGCGTTCGTCCGGCATCAACTTTTTACTTGAAACAACTTCTTCTCAGTAACCAAAAGGCTTAGGGTGATGATATTTGGCCAGAAGCATGCTTGGATGAAGAGCTATCAAGTTTATTTAAATAAATGACCTTCATCAATTTTCAAGGTCACAGGGGTCAAATATGAAAAAATCTTTAAACAACTTATTCTGAATAACCAAGAGGCCTAGGGTGATGCTAGTTGGCCAGTAACATGCTGGGATAAAGGGCTAGCAAATTTGTACAAATAAATGACCTTGACCCACTTTCAAGGTCACAGGGGTCAAATATGTTTAAAACCTTTACACAACTTTTTCTGAATAACCGAGAGGCCTAGGGTGATGATATTTGGGCAGTAATATGCTGGATGAAGGGCTACCAAGTTGTAATGACCTTGACTTATATTCAAGGTCACAGAGGGCAAATATGTTTTAAACATTTAAACAACTTCTTCTCAATAACCATTTGGCCTAGGGTGATGATATTTGGCTTGTAGCATGCTGGGATGAAGGGCTATAAAAATTGTTCAAATGAATGACCTTCATCTTTTTTCAAGGTCACAGGGTCAAATATGTTCTAAACCTTTAAACAACTTCTTCTGAATAACCAAGAGGCCTAGGATAATGCCAGTAACATGCTGGGATGAAGGACTACCAAGTTCAAATGAATTACCTTGACATATATATTTTAAGGTCACAGGGGTCAAATATGTTTAAAACGATTGAATGACTTCTTAATAAGCAAATGGCCAAGGGTGATGATATTTGGCCATTAACATGCTGGGATGAAGGACTACCAAGTGAATGACCTTCGCCCATATTCAAGGTCACAGGTGTCATATTTTTAAATCTTTTAATAGGTTCTTATGAATGAAACACTGATATTTTGCCTGTAGCTGTATTTTAGTCCACTTTTAAGATTACGATGTTAGATAATTAGTACCAGGTGAGCGATGCAGGCCCATTGAGCCTCTTGTTAAGCTCACCTTGGCCAAAGCACAGCGTCCATCATCTGTCCTGCCATCAGGCATCATCTTTTCACTTTAAACAACTTCTTCTGAGAGGCCTAGGGTTATGGTATTTGGCCAGTAGTCTTGGTTAAAGCGGTCAAATATGTCACTGTGATCTATATGTGTCCTATTTTGATGGTTCCTAACACTTTGACTAATCTTATACAGCTTGTACGACATCTACAATTAAACAACGCAAAGTCATTTAGCTGGCAAACTCTGGTATCCTTACCTACTACACTGTCATAGCTTCATTGTTTGGTTATATAAACACATTATCTTGTGTCTGGCCCAGCTGAAAGGCCATGCTGAAAGGCCATGCTGCAAACTACTTATGGTTTTTTTCCATTGTTTTATAGGATGGTGCGAGAATGATGGTGTCAGAGTTGGCTTTGGAACATGTACAGGAAAAATTCTACCTGCTCTAGAGATGTAACTGACACGTCTAGGAACACGAAATCGAAAGCAACCTCCCATCATCATCAAAGGATCGTGGGTACACGGAGAGATGAGTGAGCAGCATTAGTCTGATCGTTGGTGTTTGTACTTTGTAGCTAGGAAGGAGGACTGAATACCGGGAAATGTTCGCCTAGTCAAGCTTTCACACTACATTGGTAAAATCTATACTCACCCAGTGTTAGTTTTACCCTTTGATTGCTGTTTATTTTGTTGTTTACTAAGGATTGGTCTAATGATGTATTACAGAGGACGAAAAAGGCGGAAGTTAAACTGGCTCAAAATTTCCCAGTAAGCAGTATCTGTCCTGAAAGACAGATCTATGTCAGATTTATATCAGTTCTGATCAAAGTTTTACACATGTATTTGTGAAAAAAAGATAAATTTTGTAAAAAGATAAACCGCAATTATTGAAATAGTTGTCATATTACTCTGTTGTCAAACAGATTTGTTTATTATCATTTCATGAAAATAGTGTGACAGTTATTGTAGTATAACTAAAACTTGTAAAACAGTATGGCAATAACACAATGAGATATCACAAGTTTCTGTTATTTCCAACAGGTAGTGGTTCTGTCTTATCTAGATAACTATATGTGGGTCTTATCTAGATAACTATATGTAGTGGTTCTTATCTAGATAACTATATGTGGGTCTTATCTAGATAACTATATGTAGTGGTTCTTATCTAGATAACTATATGTGGGTCTTATCTAGATAACTATATGTAGTGGTTCTTATCTAGATAACTATATGTGGGTCTTATCTAGATAACTATATGTAGTGGTTCTTATCTAGATAACTATATGTGGGTCTTATCTAGATAACTATATGTAGTGGTTCTTATCTAGATAACTATATGTGGGTCTTATCTAGATAACTATATGTAGTGGTTCTTATCTAGATAACTATATGTGGGTCTTATCTAGATAACTATATGTAGTGGTTCTTATCTAGATAACTATATGTGGGTCTTATCTAGATAACTATATGTGGGTCTTATCTAGATAACTTTATGTAGTGGTTCTTATCTAGATAACTATATGTAGTGGTTCTTATCTAGATAACTATATGTAGTGGGTCTTATCTTGATAACTATATGTGGGTCTTATCTAGATAACTATATGTGAGTCTTATCTAGATAACTTTATGTAGTGGTTCTTATTAGATAACTATAAGTGGGTCTTATCTAGATAACTATATGTAGTGGGTCTTATCTAGATAACTATATGTAGTGGGTCTTATCTAGATAACTTTATGTAGTGGTTCTTATCTAGATAACTATATGTGGGTTTTATCTAGATAACTGATTTGTTTGATTGAGACTGATAGATAGTGATTATGAAGGCAACAGCACGCAGTCAGAGATATTTTTGTTAATCATTCCTCTACACCATTTATACTCTGGCTGATTTAAATTCATGAATTTGAATGGTAATTTTCAAAGTTAAATCACAGGTACTAGCCACGTCTGTCAATACACCTATATTCTATAATATATTATATATTAGGTGTTTTGACAGACGAGGCTAGTACCTGGGGATGAATGTGTAAAATGGGGTATTGCATCTGTCCTTTCTTATCATGCAGTGGATAATAAGTTCAACACGATTGCTGTGTGGAGAGGTTATATCAATCATTCCTGTATCAGTACTACTGATACCGCTCAGTAGTCATTACGATGTATAAACATGTGATTTGGATCATTTCGGTTTAGATGAGACTACAGGCTACACTTTGTAAAGTTATGTCTATTTTTATACCAAAGATCAAACAGCTGTTCTTGTGAGTAGGTAATGTACAAAAGAAACTTTGATTATAGATCTGACCCAGAGGTCCCACCACAAAGATTCACCACAAAGTGGATCACTAATCAGCGGGGCCAGTTGTTGGAGGACTAGGTCATTGCCCTGAGATTATAAACAGACCATGTGATCAATGTTTGAACAGTTTGTACATGAAAAATGAACTTTTACAACTGGGATTGTATCATCAGAGATGAGGTTTATATTATAGAATCATGTTCACAGTATGACTTATGTGTACAAGAATCTCTTTCCCCTACACTTTTCCTTGTAGGATCCGTCACCTGTGTGTGAACACTATATAATCTAAATGTAATTATTGTTCTAACTTCTATACTGCCATGCTGATCATGAATAAATCATTTGATCTTTTTCTCTTCTTTGAGTCCTTCATCAATAATACAGGGCATGTAATATGGACATTTTGGCATTTTTTGTCAAACTACCGATAAATCTGCTATGTGAAAATTTAATTTCACAATGCTGCTTTAATATTTTTCGTCATAGTGAACTTAAAGTATGTATTTGTGAGTACATTACTGATTCAGTAAATACAGGAACTTCAATACTTGAAAATGTCCATATTACAATATAAGAGGAGCATAGCTGATTAATACTGGTATGTGATTGTAATTATGATAACGCTACTCAGAAGGGTACATAAGCTTGGCACAATGTCTGCTGTTAAACATTGAAAATATTTATTATCGAAAACAACTGTCAAGGATTTTGACTTGTACGGGAGCATGATCTTTGACCAAGGGAGTTAACTCCATATTTAAATGTATGCACTTCCTCCTGATCACACCTATAGCTAAACAGCAGGAGACATTGTAAATGGTAAAAGTGAGTCCTATAATCTAGTGTT